CACTGACTCACTCAATCACTCACCGACTCACTCACTCAATCACTCACTCACTGAATCACTGAATCACTCACCGACTCACTCACTCACTCAATCACTCACCGACTCAATCACTCACTCACCGACTCAATCACTCACCGACTCAATCACTCACTGACTCACTCAATCACTCACCGACTCAATCACTCACCGACTCACTCAATCACTCACCGACCCAATCACTCACTCACCGACCCAATCACTCACTCACACACCGAATCAACCACTCACCGACTCACTCAATCACTCACCGACTCAATCACTCACTGACTCACTCAATCACTCACCGACTCACTCAATCACTCACCGACTGAATCACTCACTGACTCACTCACTGACTCACTCAATCACTCACCGACTCAATCACTCACCGACTCAATCACTCACTGACTCACTCAATCACTCACCGACTCACTCACCGACTCAACCGACTCAATCACTCACTGACTCACTCAATCACTCACCGACTCAATCACTCACCGACTCAATCACTCACACACACCGACTCAACCACTCACCGACTCACTCAATCACTCACCGACTGAATCACTCACTGACTCACTCAATCACTCACCGACTCAATCACTCACCGACTCAACCGACTCAATCACTCACTGACTCACTCAATCACTCACCGACTCAATCACTCACCGACTCAACCGACTCAATCACTCACTGACTCACTCAATCACTCACCGACTCAATCACTCACGACTCAACCGACTCAATCACTCACTGACTCACTCAATCACTCACTGACTCACTCACTCACTCAATCACTCACCGACTCAACCGACTCAATCACTCACCGACTCAACCGACTCAATCACTCACCGACTCAACCGACTCAATCACTCACTGACTCACTCAATCCCTCACCGACTCACTCACTCACTCAATCACTCACTCACTCACACACCGACTCAACCGACTCAATCACTCACCGACTCAACCGACTCAATCACTCACTGACTCACTCAATCCCTCACCGACTCACTCACTCACTCAATCACTCACTCACTCACTCACACACCGACTCAACCGACTCAATCACTCACCGACTCAACCGACTCAATCACTCACTGACTCACTCAATCCCTCACCGACTCACTCACTCACTCAATCACTCACTCAATCACTCACTGACTCACTCAATCCCTCACCGACTCACTCACTCACTCACTCACTCACTCAATCACTCACCGACTCAACCGACTCAATCACTCACTGACTCACTCAATCCCTCACCGACTCACTCACTCACTCACTCACTCAATCCCTCACCGACTCACTCACTCACTCAATCACTCACCGACTGCACAGACGTATCTTCAAATGGAACCATTTATGGCATCTTTTTATTAATGAAGGCCAGTATCACTGATATTAATATAGCTAATGATGTCTCGATGAAAATTCTTTCCCCCACAATTTTAGGGTTATAAAATAGTCCGCAATGCATAAATTATAAATTAAATTAGATTAATCCTTATTAAAGCTACAAGCGTTCTTTAGTCAAAGAGTAGTTAGTAGTTTTCTCTGTTCCCTCTGTTCTTTGGTTAACTTTACTGACAGACAGAATTAGCGGCTACTGTCACTTTAAGATCTACAGCTGGTGACTGGATCTCACGTGTCTCAGTCTCTCACTACTCTTTACTTCCATTTAAGATTTTATTTAACTCATTTAAGGTTAATAACGATTGATTCTTGTGAGGATACTCGACAAAACGGACATTTTGGCATAAATGTGTGTGTTGTTGTTCGTTCAAGCGCGAAAGAGAATTCGATACTGGTTCGCGACTTTTTGTGCCTCGTGTGTGTGTGTGTGTGTGTGAGGAGGAGATTTACTGAAGTGCGTTCTCGTTTGTCTTGTCGGACATTAATGGTTTAAAGCATTTGGTGGACAAACTAATAAATAATAAGAGCGTGATCATAACCCTAGCTAAAGAATGACAAAGAATGGATGCAGCGTTAATTGTGTTAAATATTTTAAAACATTAAAGCTGGACAAAAAAAAAGAAGAAATCGCATACGTTAACGTTGACAGCACTAACTTTACTTGTCATACATTGCTGACAGAAAATGAAGCGGTTTAAAGTGGACTCGTTTTCATGGTCGGCCTACACATAATGTGTTTTTTTAGTAAGCTACACAGAATGTTCTACATTAAATATTGAACTAACAGTCTGAAGTTACCTAGCAGCAGTGTAAGTTAATGTTAGCCCAGTCAACATAAGGCTAACATCAAAAGGTGTAGACAGAAAATATGATTATGCTGACCTGAGCTAATTTACGAAATCAACCAACTCACATCTCCTTTCTTTCTTTCCATCCATGATGACATTAAAGTCAGGTCTGATGTTGTTTCTGGAGTTCCGCGCTCCATGCTTTCACCGACGACGCTAACGTGAGGGATGGGCCTCAATCACACTGCTGCCAGGACCCGCCCTGCTCTGCTTCTGACGTTAGTTAGAGCTGCGCTCCTCTCATATGATTGGTAGGTGAAATCACTTGACTCGAAAATATTAAACCGCATTCAAGTTCCCAGTTTCAAATGTAGCCGTGCGGAATGCGCGCTCATAATGGAAGCGGCACACTCGTTTTTCCAAGCGCGTCCGCGCCGAAAGTGCCTCCGACTGTAATTTGCAGCCCGATTAATACATTTTGCCTGCGCCGGAGGCCGGACCTGCCCTCAAGCCGGAATACTTTAAGCCGTGTCACTCACTCACACACACCTGTTTGGGACACTGGTTCTGGCAGGAGGTCAGCAGCTGTTTGCTCTGTTTATCAGCAGTCGTGAACTTCCTACAAAACATCCACACAATCATCATTGCACACATTAAATAAGCAATATTATTGAGAAGTAACTCCCACTGACAGACACGTGTGTGTGTGTATCGTCATGACTGAGGCGTGTCACTCACACACACTCGATGTACAGGTTAGAGATCCTGCAGTGGCAGCGCTGGCGCACCATTAGCACACAGGGCGGGCAGTTGCCATGGTGACAGGGCAGGGCACAGGGGTGGGGGCAGCCCGAGGGGCGGGGCTTAGAACACCCCTCCTCACACTGCACACACTCCGGACCGGCCTACACACACACACACACACACACGATGAAACCAGCTCATCCTGATGACAGAACCCGTGGCATCAGGGTCAGAGAGTCATGTGACCTACCTTAGCGTTATCTGACTCTGAGGTCACATGATGGCACTCTAAACTGCAGGTGTGGTTCCCGCATGCTAGACTCCGCCCACATGGCCGACCACAGGAGAACGGCCCTCGAGCGTGACACGGGACCGGACTCACCTGCAACACACACACACACACACACACACACACACACACACACACACACACACACACACACACGATTCCAGACCTCCTGCAGATGTTAATCATTCGTAACCAAACGATCAAAGTCTTGCGTCATGATACAAGTCATTTAATGTGTGTGTGAGAGTGTGTGTGTGTGTGTGTGTGTGTGTGTGTGTGTGTGTGTGTGAGTGAGTGTGTGCTTGTTTGTGTTTTTGTATGTGTGCGTGTGTGTGTGTGTATGTGTGAGAGTTGTGTGTGTGTGTGTGTGTGTGATTGAGTGTGGGCTTGTGTGTGTGTGTTATTGAGTGTGGGCTTGTGTGTGTGTGTGATTGAGTGTGGGCTTGTGTGTGTGTTGTATGTGTGTGCGTTTTTGTATGTACGTGTGTGCATGTGTGTGTGAGTGAGTTGTGTGTGTGTGTGTGAGTTGTGTGTGTGATTGAGTGTGGGCTTGTGTGTGTGTTGTATGTGTGTGCGTTTTTGTATGTGCGTGTGTGCATGTGTGTGTGAGTGAGTTGTGTGTGTGTGTGAGTTGTGTGTGTGATTGAGTGTGGGATTTTGTGTGTTGTTGTATGTGTGTGCGTTTTTGTATGCGTGTGTTTTTGTATGTCTGTGTGTGTGTGTGTGTGTGTGTGTGTACCTCATGTTTTCCCAGACAGGCTCTGTAGAGAAACACAAAACACAAGATGTTTTCATTTACACTCCTGATCCAGCAGCAGGACACACAATGACATCATCTAATTTAGTTGGACTAACTTAAAAGACACACTCAAACACACACACATATAATTACTGTAAATCACCATTTTAAAGAATGTTTGAATTACACACATAAATACACACACTCTTTGGCTGCGATGGACCAGAGTGTGTTAGCCATATGTGCTCAAATCCCTACAACACACACATGCTTTCCCAGCATTCCTACAAACACACCGCAGTGAAGCCTGCAGTGAGTGAGTGAGTGTGTGTGTGTGTGTGTGTGTGTGTGTGTGTGTGTGTGTGTGTGTGTTCCTCACGTCGGTATGGGCACCAGGCAGGGCGGACACGGAAGAGCCTTTTGCACAAACGCAGGAGTCGAGGGCTTCTCCCACGGACCCGCCAGCAGAGCCTGAAACACACACACACACACACACACACACACACACACACACACACACACACACACACCAGATTCAGCCGTGAGATTCGACCATTCTAGACTGAAACTGAGGTTTCACAACAAAAACTGAAATACAAGTAGACAGAATTCTTAAACTCTTTCCCTGCCAGTGGTTTTTTATTAATTTGAAATGAACACTCGGCAAACGCGGGTAACAATCAGCAGTGGCGGGAAACGCAGTCAATCACGAGCCAATGTGGCGATTAACTTATAATGTTTACTCACTTTGCTGGGAAGTTCGTGTGAGACAAACCAGTGCAGATTTAGCACAAATACTCGTGAGTCATGATATATTAAACACAGCGTATTACACAGAATCTGCTCATATCTGCTCACTTGAACACACTCGTCACTACACACCAATAGCGGCGCGCTTGTTCATTAATATTGAAGCAATAGCGGAGATTAAAAAGCGTTTGGTGAACAGAAAACACACAGTTATGATCCAGCATCCGACATGTTTCTGATGTTCTGTGTCCTGTACTGATCTGTGCAACTAAACACATGTTTGGGGAAGAGGAAGAGGAAGAGGGAGAGGAAGAGGAAGAGGGAGAGGAAGAGGGAGAGGAAGAGGGAGAGGAAGAGGAAGAGGAAGAGGAAGAAGGAGAGGGAGAGGAAGAGGAAGAGGGAGAGGAAGAGGGAGAGGAAGAGGGAGAGGAAGAGGGAGAGGAAGAGGAAGAGGGAGAGGAAGAGGGAGAGGAAGAGGGAGAGGGAGAGGAAGAGGAAGAGGAAGAGGAAGAGGAAGAGGAAGAGGAAGAGGGAGAGGAAGAGGGAGAGGAAGAGGAAGAGGGAGAGGGAGAGGAAGAGGAAGAGGAAGAGGGAGAGGAAGAGGGAGAGGGAGAGGAAGAGGGAGAGGAAGAGGAAGAGGAAGAGGGAGAGGAAGAGGGAGAGGAAGAGGAAGAGGGAGAGGGAGAGGAAGAGGAAGAGGAAGAGGAAGAGGGAGAGGAAGAGGAGATGCTGGAGGACAGGATTTAGTTTGAATAAGAAATGAATGTATGAAATCAAAATGTTATAATATATATAAGCTGTGACGTAGTTAATCTGGTTCATTTCTTATCTTTTTCGGCTAGTAGAAGTTCTGAATGGCCGGTAACTTAAAAATCTAGTTAATTTCAAACCCTGATTATTAAGTAACGCATAGAGTATGAGAATTGAAAAACGGGTATCTTGCCCAACCTATTCTGGCCCTGAAGCGCTAAACCCCTTCAGGTGTGTGTGTGTGTGTGTGTGTGTGTGTGCGTGTGTGTGTGCGTGTGTGATCTCAGAATAAACCCCTTCAGGTGTGTGTGTGTGTGTGTGTCTGTGTGTGTGTGTGTGTGTGTGTGTGTGTGTGTGTGTGTGTGTGTGTGTGATCTCAGAATAAACCCCTTCAGCCTGATGAAGACCTGATCCTGATCACCCTGTCGGGTTTATTCTGAGATAACAATCGGCTGTGTGTACATCATCGCTTGTGTAGCGCAGCAGAGTGTGTGAACTGAACACCGGCTGTCTCACCCATCCTATCCTAGTGGCCAGCGCTTCAGGCAGTGTTGTGTGAGAGGAGTGTGTGTTCGCTGAAGCTCGTACCCGGTCCGCAGCTTTGACCAGCACCTGGTCGTGGCACGGGGTCGGGCACAGGTGGGCACAGCCGGGTCTCGGGCGCCGGCACGCCAGCGCACAGGGAGGACACGGGCCGGCGTGGCAGCGGTGCTCCTGCAGGGACCCGTGATGGCACAGCGCAGGCTTCCTACACAACAGCAGCAGCACAGACGGGCGCAACCATGTATCACAACTGAAGAAATGTGTTGTATTGTGGATAGTTCACCCAAAATAAAAATTACTGTGAGAGAAAAAATTCAAGTTTTTAAAGTTTTAGTGTCAGTACTACATTACACTACTATATATAATGTTGAATATAATGTATAATATTGCAATGGGGGAATATTTGTGGGGGCCAAATATCTTATTACCAGTAAAAAGTGGCCGACATTATTTTAAATATATCTAGTCAGTGACAGAGATCAAGCATATTTTCAGCTTCAGAATCATGGATATTGTTATTCTGGTGTCTCTATTGTCCTGTGCTTTGGGTTTCAGCACCAAGTCCATCCTATTCTTTTACACACACAATATAATATCAAATTTAGCATTTTAATCAACTTAACCTTTTATCATTTGTCTTGGTGTATCGCAATAATATGGTATCGTGAGTTCAGTATCGATTCGTGACACGAGGGTATTGTTACACAGCTAGCAACTAATAAAGCCTTCATATGATTATCCAACAGAACAGAAGTCAGTAGGACGTGTGTGTGTGTGTGTGTGTGTACCTGCACAGCTCCTTACAGCGAGGAGGTTTCGTGCTTCTCTCTCGTCCACACGGCACAGAGATCACCGTAGAGCCGCAGTCACACCGGACCTCAACCATCTCAGGGCACGGGTAACAGCTGCCTGAGACACACACACACACACACACACACACACACTGGCTACGTTCACATGCAACCAAATCATCCGTTAGTCATGGAATGACGTAGAAATAGCGCAATGATGTTGAAATAGCGCAATGACGTAGAAATAGCGCAATGATGTAGAAATAACGTAATGATGTAGAAATAGCGTAATGCCGTAGAAATAGCATAATGACGTAGAAATAACGTAATGACGTAGAAATAGCGTAATGACGTAGAAATAGCGTAATGACGTAGAAACAGCGCAATGACGTAGAAAACGCGTAATGACGTAGAAACAGCGAAATGACGTAGAAATAGCGCAATGACGTAGAAATAGCGTAATGACGTAGAAACAGCGTAATGACGTAGAAATAGCGTAATGACGTAGAAACAGCGCAATGACGTAGAAATAGCGTAATGACGTAGAAACAGCGCAATGACGTAGAAATAGCGCAATGACGTAGAAATAGCGTAATGACGTAGAAACAGCGTAATGACGTAGAAATAGCGTAATGACGTAGAAATAGCGCAATGACGTAGAAATAGCGCAATGAAGTAGAAATAGCGTAATGAGTTAGAAATAGCGCAATGGCATAGAAATAGCGCAATGACGTAGAAATAATAGCGCAATGACGTAGAAATAGCGCAAATGACAAAGACAGCGCAATGACGTAGAAATAGCGTAATTACGTAGAAATAGCATAATGACGTAGAAATAGCGCAATGACGTAGAAATAGCGCAATGACGTAGAAATAGCGTAATGACGTAGAAATAGCGTAATGACGTAGAAATAGCGCAATGACATGCGGACGAGCTGTTCTCCTGTTGAATAAACAGTCGTATAAATGAGTTTCCCGTCATCCTATAATCCTCCGTTCTCTGTGTGTGTGAAGTGGAGCAGGACGACGGCCACCAATGCTGGCTTCAGACTCTCTGTATATTCGTGCAGTGAGCGCATGTCAAAAAATATATTCCGATTTGAAGCGTGTGACATATAAACACACACATCACCCCGATCACATGTTCAGCGTTCACGTAAACACTGCGCTCAGATTCATCAATTCATCAGTTGGAATGAATGAATTCAGTCCGATTGAAACAAAAGTTGTGCATGTAAACGCAGCCAGTGATTAATTTCTCAAATCTTTCCAGCTCTTCTCATTATTTGCATTGATCAGACGGGATCTGTGTGTTCATGCAGTGGAGGCGCAACTTTTGTTTAGTGAAGACATGATGTGGCTTTACTAAGAAACGCTTGATGAATTCAGGCCGGCCTCGAAACACTATTCCAGCAGTCGCACACACTCTCGCTGCCTGACATTTGGAGATCAAACCCGCAGGCCGAGATAACAGGCGTCTGCCGGATAACATTGTTGTTTCAGACACACATTTGCATTTGGCACATAGCAGGTGAACGAGAGCGAGGCATCAGTGAAGAATCCATGGGTGTGAGATAACCTCTATACTCCATTACCTTTCCCACAATCACACACTTCTGTTCTGAGGAAAGGTCAGTTTATGTAGATGAACTGGACTCTGATAACCAGCAGACAGGAAGCGCTTCTGCTCAAAAACAAGAGCCAATCAAACAATCGGTCAAGTTTCCGTTGCTCTCACACCAGACTGACAGAAAACTCTCCCGATCGCCTCGGACACGGGAAACGCTTCTACGGGGAGACGCTCCTATGGGGAGACGCTCCTATGGGGAGACGCTCCTAATACGGGGAGACGCTCCTATGGGGAGACGCTCCTATGGGGAGACGCTCCTATGGGGAGACGCTCCTACGGGGAGACGCTCCTATGGGGAGACGCTCCTATGGGGAGACGCTCCTAATACGGGGAGACGCTCCTAATACGGGGAGACGCTCCTATGGGGAGACGCTCCTATGGGGAGACGCTCCTAATACGGGGAGACGCTCCTATGGGGAGACGCTCCTATGGGGAGACGCTCCTATGGGGAGACGCTCCTAATACGGGGAGACGCTCCTATGGGGAGACGCTCCTAATACGGGGAGACGCTCCTAATACGGGGAGACGCTCCTATGGGGAGACGCTCCTAATACGGGGAGACGCTCCTAATACGGGGAGACGCTCCTAATACGGGGAGACGCTCCTAATACGGGGAGACGCTCCTAATACGGGGAGACGCTTCTAATACGGGGAGACGCTCCTATGGGGAGACGCTCCTACGGAGAGACGCTCATACGGGGAGACGATCCTACGGGGAGACGCTCATACGGGGAGACGCTCATACGGGGAGACGCTCATACGGGGAGACGCTCATACGGGGAGACGATCCTACGGGGAGACGCTCATACGGGGAGACGCTCATACGGGGAGACGCTCATACGGGGAGACGATCCTACGGGGAGACGCTCCTATGGCGAGACGCTCATACGGGGAGACGCTCATACGGGGAGACGATCCTACGGGGAGACGCTCATACGGCGAGACGCTCCTACGGGGAGACGCTCATACGGGGAGACGCTCATACGGCGAGACGCTCCTACGGGGAGACGCTCATACGGGGAGACGCTCATACGGGGAGACGCTCCTACGGGAAACGCTCCTACGGGGAGACGCTCATACGGGGAGACGCTCATACGGCGAGACGCTCCTACGGGGAGACGCTCATACGGCGAGACGCTCCTACGGGGAGACGCTCATACGGGGAGACGCTCATACGGGGAGACGCTCATACGGGGAGACGCTCCTACGGGAAGACGCTCCTACGGGGAGACGCTCATACGGCGAGACGCTCCTACGGGGAGACGCTCATACGGGGAGACGCTCATACGGGGAGACGATCCTACGGGAAACGCTCATACGGGGAGACGATCCTACGGGGAGACGCTCATACGGCGAGACGCTCCTACGGGGAGACGCTCATACGGGGAGACGCTCATACGGGGAGACGCTCATACGGGGAGACGCTCCTACGGGAAGACGCTCCTACGGGGAGACGCTCATACGGCGAGACGCTCCTACGGGGAGACGCTCATACGGGGAGACGCTCATACGGGGAGACGATCCTACGGGAAACGCTCCTACGGGGAGACGCTCATACGGGGAGACGATCCTACGGGAAACGCTCCTACGGGGAGACGCTCATACGGCGAGACGCTCATACGGCGAGACGCTCCTACGGGGAGACGCTCCTACGGCGAGACGCTCCTACGGGGAGACGCTCATACGGGGAGACGCTCATACGGGGAGACGCTCATACGGGGAGACGCTCCTACGGGAAGACGCTCCTACGGGGAGACGCTCCTACTGGGAGACGCTCCTACGGGGAGACGCTCATACGGGGAGAAGCTCATACGGGGAGACGCTCCTACGGGGAGACGCTCCTACGGCGAGACGCTCCTACGGGGAGACGCTCATACGGGGAGACGCTCATACGGGGAGACGCTCCTACGGGGAGACGCTCATACGGGGAGACGCTCCTACGGGGAGACGCTCATACGGGGAGACGCTCCTACTGGGAGACGCTCCTACGGGGAGACGCTCATACGGGGAGAAGCTCATACGGGGAAACGCCCCTAGCTCCAACGGGAAAGACACCCTAAATCTCCACGTTAGCTCCTTGAGTGGGCGAGAACTGTACGAACAGGGTGAAAATAATACATGAAAATAATACAACAAGTTTGTTTCTAAAAAAAAATTGCGTCATCGTCCACCTGAAGTAAGGCAGATCAATAATATAGTTGAATATTAAATGTCCCCAACTAAGCAGCCAAAAGCCAAGGCAACAGTGCCAAGTGTGTGTAAAGGTCTGTGTGTGTTCATGAGTGTGTGTGTAAGTGTTCACCTTGGTGGCACACAGACGGGCATCTGTGGTTCCTGCAGCCCAGCATTCGCCCGCAGCTCATGTCACACGCCGGGCAGTTCCCCGGACAACACTGGACACACACACACACGCGCTATCAGCGACACAGAGGTGTGTGAGGCACAAGTGGCACTCATGTGTGTCAAAGCGATCTGAGTGGAATGTGTGTGTGAGTGTTACACAAACCTTTCTCTTGCACTGGTGTCGGCTGCAGGTCCGAGTCTTGTTGCACTTGGACTCACAGAGATATTCTTTATGACAGGGCAAGAGTTTGGTGTAGCGGCCACAGCGACACGTCTTCTCCACCTCCTGCGTGCACACACACACACACACAGGTTAATGCCCCTGTAATCAGTAGCACTGAGCTCTGATTCTGGGAAACTGCTGTTAAATTCCCATCAGTGTGAATGGAAACCGGGGCTGGAATGCCAGAAATTCCATCCCGTTATCAGAGTCTATTAACATTACCGGGACCAACCCTGGAACACTTTATTGTTTCGACAGAGAGGAGGTGGAGAAGGTGTTAATACACCTAATAATAGCAGAAGGCTTTGTCTTTTTTTATTGTCTGTTTACAAGACAATAACACACAATTGAAAGCCGTATCTTCCTAATGAGCTCATTTGCGTTAGCGGTCAGTGATCGAGCAACACCGTTGCAGCCTTCACTCTCTCGGTTACTCTGTAATGCACTGGGTTCCCACGCCTCGGTTAACTTCACATTCAAGGACCTTTCCAGGATTCTGCAGGTCCAATACCCTCAAATTCAAGCACTTAATGTGGGGACACACTTCAAGTGAGAGCGAGGTCACATCGCGTCAGATACAAGATACATCGTTACAGTTTTCATACGTCAAACACAGCTATGCAAAAAAGCTTCTTTTTTTGCATTTATTTTTGGCCATATGACAGAGATCTGATATTCTATTTGTCGTATTTCTGTTTTGCATAACCCTGAAGAATATTCGGTACATCCTAAACTGTATTCTAAAATGATCTGATATTAACTTTTGAAAACTTATGAAACCATGAACGTTGAGGTGCCATCGTAGTAGTTTCGCGCGCGCGTGAACGTCATGGCAACGTACAACACAAAGCACCTCATGCGGGAAACAGTTAACGTAACGTGTACATCCGTGTAACTAACGCAAATCAAGCAAGCTAGTGCGCATAGGCCACGATGTGCTGGCGGAATAACACATTAGCGGAGCGGAGGGAATATGGGATTTTTTCCAGAAAACTTCTAAGCAAATAAATTCAAGCACTTTCAAGAACCTGTATCTGTGAGTGTTTATTAAACTTCTGTATCTGTGAGTGTTTATTAAACTTCTGTTTATTATACAGAAGTTTATTAAACTTCTGTATCTGTGAGTGTTTATTAAACTTCTGTATCTGTGAGTGTTTATTAAACTTCTGTATCTGTGAGTGTTTATTAAACTTCTGTATCTGTGAGCGTTTATTAAACTTCTGTATCTGTGAGTGTTTATTAAACTTCTGTATCTGTGAGTGTTTATTAAACTTCTGTATCTGTGAGTGTTTATTAAACTTCTGTATCTGTGAGTGTTTATTAAACTTCTGTATCTGTGAGTGTTTATTAAACTTCTGTATCTGTGAGTGTTTATTAAACTTCTGTATCTGTGAGTGTTTATTAAACTTCTGTATCTGTGAGTGTTTATTAAACTTCTGTATCTGTGAGTGTTTATTAAACTTCTGTATCTGTGAGTGTTTATTAAACTTCTGTATCTGTGAGTGTTTATTAAACTTCTGTATCTGTGAGTGTTTATTAAACTTCTGTATCTGTGCGTGTTTATTAAACTTCTGCATCTGTGAGTGTTTATTAAACTTCTGCATCTGTGCGCGTTTATTAAACTTCTGTATCTGTGAGTGTTTATTAAACTTCTGTATCTGTGAGTGTTTATTAAACTTCTGTATCTGTGCGTGTTTATTAAACTTCTGTATCTGTGAGTGTTTATTAAACTTCTGTATCTGTGAGTGTTTATTAAACTTCTGCATCTGTGAGTGTTTATTAAACTTCTGTATCTGTGAGTGTTTATTAAACTTCTGTATCTGTGCGTGTTTATTAAACTTCTGTATCTGTGAGTGTTTATTAAACTTCTGTATCTGTGAGTGTTTATTAAACTTCTGCATCTGTGAGTGTTTATTAAACTTCTGTATCTGTGAGTGTTTATTAAACTTCTGCATCTGTGAGTGTTTATTAAACTTCTGACAGATGCAGAAGTATTGTATCTGTGAGTGTTTATTAAACTTCTGTATCTGTGAGTTATTATCTGTGAGTGTTTATTAAACTTCTGTATCTGTGAGTGTTTATTAAACTTCTGTATCTGTGAGTGTTTATTAAACTTCTGTATCTGTGAGTGTTTATTAAACTTCTGTATCTGTGAGTGTTTATTAAACTTCTGTATCTGTGAGTGTTTATTAAACTTCTGTATCTGTGAGTGTTTATTAAACTTCTGCATCTGTGAGTGTTTATTAAACTTCTGTATCTGTGAGTGTTTATTAAACTTCTGTATCTGTGAGTGTTTATTAAACTTCTGTATCTGTGAGTGTTTATTAAACTTCTGTATCTGTGAGTGTTTATTAAACTTCTGTATCTGTGAGTGTTTATTAAACTTCTGTATCTGTGAGTGTTTATTAAACTTCTGCATCTGTGAGTGTTTATTAAACTTCTGTATCTGTGAGTGTTTATTAAACTTCTGTATCTGTGAGTGTTTATTAAACTTCTGTATCTGTGAGTGTTTATTAAACTTCTGTATCTGTGAGTGTTTATTAAACTTCTGTATCTGTGAGTGTTTATTAAACTTCTGTATCTGTGAGTGTTTATTAAACTTCTGTATCTGTGAGTGTTTATTAAACTTCTGTATCTGTGAGTGTTTATTAAACTTCTGTATCTGTGAGTGTTTATTAAACTTCTGTATCTGTGCGTGTTTATTAAACTTCTGTATCTGTGAGTGTTTATTAAACTTCTGTATCTGTGTGTGTTTATTAAACTTCTGTATCTGTGCGCGTTTATTAAACTTCTGTATCTGTGCGTGTTTATTAAACTTCTGTATCTGTGAGTGTTTATTAAACTTCTGTATCTGTGAGTGTTTATTAAACTTCTGTATCTGTGAGTGTTTATTAAACTTCTGTATCTGTGAGTGTTTATTAAACTTCTGTATCTGTGAGTGTTTATTAAACTTCTGTATCTGTGAGTGTTTATTAAACTTCTGTATCTGTGAGTGTTTATTAAACTTCTGTATCTGTGAGTGTTTATTAAACTTCTGTATCTGTGCGTGTTTATTAAACTTCTGTATCTGTGCGTGTTTATTAAACTTCTGTATCTGTGAGTGTTTATTAAACTTCTGTATCTGTGAGTGTTTATTAAACTTCTGTATCTGTGAGTGTTTATTAAACTTCTGTATCTGTGAGTGTTTATTAAACTTCTGTATCTGTGAGTGTTTATTAAACTTCTGTATCTGTGAGTGTTTATTAAACTTTCCAGGGCCTTGAGTTGTTTTTTCAGATTCACAAACTTGTACCCGTGGGAACCCTGAATGCACTTTGATCACAGCCTTCACGAACGGGTTAAACACTCTGGATAAACGCTTCTGCTAGATGACTAAATGCACGTCCTTATGAGACCATACAGTATTTATGGGATTGAATGAAAGCACAGAACACAGAATGAACGGAATCGCTCAGGCATGTACAGTTATTAATGGGGGTGTAACGATACCTTGTTATATAGAGTAATTGCGATATCAAAATGCGACGATGTGTATCGTTGACGTAAACAAGATTCGCGATACAGTTTTACCCAAGGCTCAGCTTACTGTATTAATAAGATATAATTCACCCACAAATGTAAATTCTGTTATTAATTACTCTCCGTCATGTCCTTTCAAACCTATAAGATCTCCGTTCAACTTCCAAACACAAATGAAGACATTTTTATAAAACCTGGCAGATTTCTGTCCCTCCGTTTAAGGTCCTCTAGAAATAAAAAAAGCTCCAAATAAATCATAAAAATGAGATGTGAGTGAAAGAGTGTGTGTGTGTGTGTGTTGTACCTGTCGGCAGGTCTCACAGGCTGCTCTGTGGCAGCGCATTGAGCATGTGTGTAAACCACAGTCCAGTTTCTTCCCACAGGTGTCTCCACAGGTGGGTACGTCGACCGTACACGGCAACACACTCTCTGAACACACACACACACACAAACTTGTGTTGTTAATACATTAACACATTCAGCTCCATTTTTACATAAAGAAACTAAATAACAGGCTTTTGTGGGGAGCAGGTGCGAGCGGCTGCCGGGTTCAGGCCGCGGGGCGGGGTCTGGGTGAGGGGGATAAGCTTGTAGCGGCCCAGGCCCTCTCTATCGGGTGGGTATAGGCGAGCGGGCTTGTGTTGTTACGTGATGTGCTGTTGTGTGTAATGTGGTCACAATTCTGTGAAATGTTGATGTAATATATTAGTATACAATGTATATGCTGCATGATTGTGTAACTCACACTATGTAGTTTTTATATTTATATTTGGATTATCATTTTGGAAAGGCCTGACCAGGGACTGGGGTTGCAGACTAGCCTATTGGCTAGAAACCTTTTATGCAACACATCTACACATATTGTTATGGCTTTGACTGTGATAATTATGTATGTAATAATGTGCGCTGCATTGTCCCTGACAAATAAACTAATAATAAATTGTAAAAAAAAAGTTTCTGTTCCTGAAAATCTTAAAACACTGTTTATTTAAATCGTATCTTTGTTCAGTTGTGTCTATTTCTTGCGATTGCGATTTCTTCACAGACATTCCTGTCGTTCGTCCACGGCAGCGTCACATGACACAGGTCACAGGTGTGTGTGTGTGTGTGTGTGTGTGAACTTACTGGTCTTGCCGCAGGAACAGGAGCGATTCCCAGCACGAGGACACCCTCCACACACACCGGAGTGACACACACGCTCACAGGTGTGATTCCCACAGGACAGCAGGCGGCCACACACCTGCACACACACGACAGCGGTTACACACACACAAACACACACACACACTAGGGCTGTCACTTTTTATTCGATATTCGAATATGCATTCGAACATGACGTGAAATATCCGTAATCGAACTATAAATAAACTAACCGGTTTTTAAAGTGCCATGTTTAGCGCATTTTTTACAGTCTATGATTAGACCGTTTGTTTTTTATTTTATTGTTTGCCATCTCATCCAGTAGCGGGCACTCTAAACGTATTGTAGCGTAAGCTCATGACCAAATCAAGCGAATAATAGCCAATAGCCACCCTGTTTTGAAAAAGGAAGATATAACGCACAGAACGGCCAGCCTGAGCGGACAATTTCTACCCCAACTCATCTAAAAGTAGTGTCTGGAAATGGACGATTGATGAATCCGAACACGGTGTTTACATGAACGATAGATAAAGTAATGTGCGCGTTATATGTCACAAGATTCAAATCGGAATTGATTTTTTTGACATGCGCACACTGCACGAATATGCCGCTGTTCACGCATAACTATTCTCCTCTATTGGTTCTTTATTTGTTTTAAACAGCAGACTTAATATTTATCCGTCTCTGGTCATGATTTGGAGACGATGAGCATGATTTGCCGTGCTGCTGCTTGATCACGCAGTAAAACCCCGCGCCCAAAACCAGTCGTCTGTGGATGAGAATCTGAAACAAGCACTGGTGGGACGTTGTCCTGCTTCACTTCACAGTGAAATGATAATTTTTTAATAACGGAACACTCATTTATATGACACTTTATTCACCAGGAAGAGCAGCTCGCTCCGTGCGTAACACGTCATTGCACATGCGCAGTCCTTTTAGTTTCGGTTTTCAATTCGATCAAGTGTTTACATGTTCTCTCGATCGGATTACAAAAGGAGTAAACCATCGGATCGATTAAGGTGTTTACATGAAGGTTTTTTAGTCCGATTGAGCCGTCAATCTGATTATAAGGGTCTATGTAAAGATGCGCAAATACCTGTGTGTGCCAGTGCGCGCTCCGAGCGCGTGTTCTCCACCGCGGGGAACATCGTCAATAAAAAGAGAGCCGCACTTGATCCAGATCAAGATGATAAATTGGTGTTTCTAGCAAACAATATTAGGAAATGAATTAGGCTAGGCTATATAGGCCTTACTCCTGCTGCTGTTTAAGTTGTCACGTTATTGTTTGTGCCGTGCTGTTCCGCTTCAGTTTTTTCCCATGTAGCCTAATTTTGTGATTGGCTATGCATAGTGGCACTTCATATAGATTAAGTTGAAAACCTGCTGTTTAAAACATCAAGTCAAAAAAAAAAATTTCAGACAGGCCTGAGTCCTGTTTATGACTGTCAGACTGTTAATAAATGTGTGATCTCCGTTTCGGTGTTTTTTTTTGTTTGTTTTTTGGTGGGGGGGGGGGGGGGGGGGGGCTCGTAGATATTCGAATATAGGGTTAGGGTTAGGGTTGCTAATACATTGCTTGATATTCGATATCCGTTCGAATTTGATTTTTGTCAAAAGTGACAGCCCTAACAAACACACGCACACACACACGCGCACACACGCGCACACACACGCACACACACACACTCGGCACACACGCGCACACACGCGCACACACACACGCACACACACGCGCACACACACACGTACACACACGCACGCACACACACACACGCGCACACACACGCGCACACACACACACACGCGACAGCGGTTGC